CAGTCATGGGGAAAATCCATTATTTCAGAAAAGCGAAGAGGAAGATGACAAGGAGCTACACCTTCACTGCAGTTTCGTGGCAAAAGAACAGAAGCGCCACCATGAATCAGGGAGGGAGCTGTAAGAGGAGAACAAGGAACAGTCTTGGATTTAACTGAAAGAGCAGGATGACTGTGGTGGGTGGTGCTGGAGGCGTGGGAATGGCAGACGGGGTGGAGGCAATAGGGATCTGTCTGTCTCCCGGGATAGACTTACCTAGGAGACCAATTCCCTAACTGATGTCTTCTTAAATCCAATTGGAATGAGTTCTTCTCTGTGACATTTTTTCACAAAGCTCATTAGCCCCTTCTGATGTTATTCAATGCATACATAGCTGTGTCTACAGGAATACGGTAATTGGCAGATATTCTATTACTGGATGATTAGTCTCCACTCACCAGTTTCCCTGTAAACAGACACAACCACATGCTTCGTAAGAAGGAAGAAATAAATTTCCCGTAGCATGTGCAACTTAACAAATCATGCCCTTCACAAGGAAATAAGGTTCAGGAAAACCAAGGGGATATTTCTTAACCAACCTATCAAGGCATTAGAAATAGCAGGATGACTCCTGAAAGTGTACCTTCCTGAGTTTTACTGGGTTCCTGGGCTCCTGAAACCAATGACATTGGTTTGTATGTGTGTATTTAGAAAATATCCAAAAATACAAGTTGGCAGGTGATCACCTGCAAAAACTTCTGAGGATTGGTGAGTCTTCTGTGACAGTGTAAGACGTCAGGATGTCACAATGCTTCCTACTACTACATGCCAGGAATACTTTTCGGGAAGAGAAGAAAAGTATGGAATTACTTCTTATTTGAGCCCAGGTTCTCTCTAACTTTAAGCAAACTCCCAGTCCTTATAATGAGTCCCTTCTCCTCAGACTCACTTCTGCGTGACCAATCTTAGCAGCTTAGTCCCAGGAGAATGCAGCCTTGGTCAGAAGTTCCCTCCAAGGCCAAGTTATCCCACACTGTCCCCAAATCTCTTCCTTCCAAGCCCAGCCTGAGCTTCTTTATTCTGTCCTCTGAGGTCAGGTCCCTTTCTCTTGGAACCCGGAGAAACCTCTCCTGCTCCTGCTCCTCCTCCAGGAACCCCCATTTCTATCTGGCGACAACAGCCTGTGATTCAACCTTGACTGAGAAGCTCCCATTCCTCGTGTTTGTAGTTTTTCATCATGGTCTTTTTCTCGTCACAGGCTTCGATCTTTGGACCCTCTCCCTCATCAAAACCCCAGTAGTCTGCCTCCTCCCGTCCCCTCACCCAGTCCCAACTCCAGGGCTCCTGTTACAGAACAGTCCCACTCAGGGATTCACTCCATGCAGAGGGCTGGAGGAGACCTAAGAGCAGCACGGCCTGAGGGGTCGGGGCCCCTATCTCCACCCCCTACCTCCAACTTCTGAGCTCCCGGGACATTGTTGTAGGTGAATCTTCCTGTGAATCTGTGATGTGCCGAGACAAAAGACCCTGTCCTCGACAAGTGGTAGACAGGCCCCACAACAGTCACGGGTGCTAGAGAAGCATGCTGGAAATCAGAACTCCCATACATAGCCCATCATACTCTGGCAGGAATATAAAATGGCATATAAAGTCAAACACAGACTTCCCATAGGACAGCGAGCTCGCTCCTAGGTATATGCCTAAGAGATGAAAACATACGTCCACGCTGAAACTTCTACATGAAAGGTCACGTCAGCATTATTCACAATAGCCAAAGGATGAACAAAACCCAAAAGTACGCTCGCATGTGAATGGATCACGAACGGTGCTGTTATCATGTGACGGAACGGTATGCAGTCATGGAAGGGAATGAAGCACCAATAATACGACAACATGGGTGAACCACGCTCAGTGGAAGGGACCTGATACAAAGGCCATACACTGTGCACGTCCATCTAAGTGAAATATCCAGAACAGACAAATCCACAGAGACAAGTAGATTAGTGGTCTCCAGAGGCTGTGGTAAAAGACATCATGGGTGAGTCTCTTTTTTGGCCGAGAGGGGAGTTGATGAAATTGTTCTGGAATTAAATCATGGTGATCCTGCACAACCTTGTTGCTGTACTAAAAACTAGCGAATTTTACATTTTAAAAAAGTAAGCTTATGGTATGTGAACCATAAAGTTGATCTACGGTACACATAGCCCCTATCCTCATGGCAGGCCAGATGTTGTGCTGGATGGCCCCCAACAACCACCCTCTCTCCCGCCACAGGCAGGTTTCAGGGCACAGTGTACTCGGGGGAAAAACACTTTCTTTAGTCTGCCTCTTTTCCCACCCTCCCTGTCCATATTTACTAAACCCCAGCCTGAGAAAGCGGTCTGGGGGAAGGGAGGGCTGGATATGATTTGATTCTCTCTGAGCCTCGCACTCAAAGGAAACCACCCCGATTTGATTCTCCCACTCACTGTTCTTGGCTGACTCAGGATGGAGCCCTAAAAGGGCACCTGAAAGCCCAGCCCTCTCCCCTGGTGACTGTGGGACTTAGTATCTGACTGAACCTGACCTCTTCTGAATTTATAGGACATTATCTTCTTTTGAGAGTGCAGAAGGTTCTTTTCACTTAAACACAAGGATTTATGTCAGCTCAAACCCAAAGCCTGTCTAACCGACTATGGACTGTGGATCGGATACACATTCAGGTTCCAGAGCCAGCTTATCTGCCTGGATATCTCACCTGTGTACTTCACTACCCCTAGAAACCTGAACCTTTATTCACCTGCTCTGTGCCTCATTTCTGTCATCTGTGAAATGGGGATAACAAAGAGATCTGCCTTAATAAGCTATTAAAGGTGTAAATGAGCGAATACCCATCCCCACTCGAAAGGAGCCTAGTTTTTAATATTATTCCATCTATGCACGTGAGCAGCATAAGGTTCCAGTGACAGCAGAATTGACCATGGCATTCTAAGAACACCTTTTCCTGGGACACCTGGGTGGCTCAGTCGGTTGAGCGTCTGACTTCAGCTCAGGTCATGATCTCACGGTTCGTGGGTTCGGGCCTCGTGTCGGGCTCTGTGCTGACAGCTAGCTCAGAGCCTGGAGCCTGTTTCAGATTCTGTGTCTCCCTCTCTCTGACCCTCCTCTGCTCACACTGTCTCTCTCTCTCTCTCTCTCAGAAATAAATATAAACATTAAAAAAAAAAAGAACACCTTTTCCTCATTTTTTTTTCTTACAAGCTGTTAACTGTGGTGTCCAGTCCATGAATATGAAAACAGTATGGCGAAGGGCAAGTGACAGAGAAATGTCATGATTCTGGAGCTCACACAATCTATTTTTGATTCCTATTTATATAAAAAAATTAGAATGCTGTCACTCACCATGGTTCCTGTTTATATCGATTATTCTTCTCATAGTGAGCATGTGAACACTGCAAGGTAAAGGAGCTCCCCACTGACCTTCAAACACAGAGAAAATCTGGGACTGGCTGCAAGGGGGCCTGGGGGGCAGGAACAAGGACAGTTCTCAAGGTGCAGCCTTTAGGGGAAGACAAAAGACTCTTGTTCTCTGCCTACAGCTGGGCCACCTCATCAGGGGCACTTTCGACAGAACTCGAGCTATTTTCCTGGTTATACCGAGTAAGGAAATGGACAGGTAGAACAAGCTTGTTTTCAGAACAGGAGACAGAAAATGTTAAGCTTTTTCACTGTTTCTGTTTAATGTGGGCCTTAAAGACATCAACATCCAAGAGAAGACTTTATTAAGGTTATTTCCAGGTGGATGTAGCAGGTGCATGAGAAGAAGTTGGGATTTTAATTCTATCCTCACTGGTATTAGAAAAGACACCTACATGCATTTCCTAAGAGCAGAGGATTGCAGAGCTGCAGGTTTTTTTGCTGCATGTGAAAAGGAAGTACAGTAATGGAATAATCATGTTTTATCCCCATAAATATTTTGAGTGGATACATGTCAGTTAGCCTGATTAAGAAATCAAAAGTTGATTTACTTGAAAATACCGACTGCAACGAGGAAGAGAAGGAAGCAGGAAGGAGGTATATATTCAGGATCTCCCCATGCACCATACACAGGCTGACAGGATCCCAGCCCACCTCTGCTTCCTCCAGGAACACAGGTAAGAGCCTGCAGCTGCTCCACTTAGTAGCCCGAATCATTTCTGAAAATACCGATAATGATGTGTTTTATAGCATGCATCTACTTCATTCTACGCGATTGTAGTGTACTTACTCTGTCAGGGTAGAACTGAAAGACCTTTTTCATCTGATTTATCCTTTATTTATTTACTTCTGATTAAACCATGCTCCTTGAGGACCATGTGTGGTGGGGGTTGGAGGGAGAGTATCTGGCACCCACGGAACCTTGCAGGAAAAGGCAGAGAGCTGCCTCGTGGGACCCGGCTGAATGTTGTTACCTGAATCTCTGTTTGTATCTGCAATAACCATTTTCTACCCAGGCCTAGTCCTGCCAGTAATGAAAGAAAGATGTGCCGTTACTTTTTCACAAAAGTTGTTTTTATATACAGTAATTTTGATAGTTGTCTAATTATGAAATTTACACATAACCCCTTGTGGGTTAAAAAGTAAAAGGAAGAAAGCCTTTAGTTGCCAGAATCCCACAATCCAAAGAGAAGTCATTTCTTTTAAGAAAATTTCATTATACTGGGGTGCCCGGGTGGCTCAGTCTGTTAATTGTCTGACTTCGGTTCAGGTCATGATCTCGTGGTCCATGGGTTCAAGCCCCATATCAGGTTCTGTGCTAACAGCTCAGAGCCTGGAGTCTGCTTCAGATTCTATGTCTCCCTCTCTCTCTCTCTCTCTCTCTCTGCCTCTCCCCAGCTCTCTAGCTCTCAGATATATCTCTCTCTCAAAAATAAACATTTAAAAAATTTTGTTAAGAAAATTTCATTATAGACTAACCAGCCCTCCCTTCCATAAAGTCGTAATATGAATCTGATGCTTTCTAGGAGTTCCAGGTCACAGTTCCAGGTCACACCAAGGTCGCCATGAATTCACTCAGTGAAGCAAACACCCACTTCGCATGGGATCTGTTCCAACAGTTCAAAATAGCAAAGAAGGATGACAACATCTTCTACTCCCCTCTCTCCATCTCAGCAGCATTAGCCATGACCCATTTAGGAGCCAAAGGAAACACTGCCCTCCAAATTGAGAAGGTAGGTGTTGGCTTCCTACACAATGACCAGCTTAGACGGATCTCTCCGTTGGCTTGGGTGCAGAAGACCACAGATCCGGTTGTGTAGCACAGGAGGCGGGGCAAGCATCCCCATGACTGTGAGCTGTGGGGGGAGAGGGGGCACATGCCTTCCCTTGGGTTCTGCCCCATTTGCCTCCCTGTACCTAGATTGCCTCTGAGAGCCGGGATGAACTCCCACAATTGCAGGACAAGTAGAGGAGAGGCTTAAATGGAAGAATAATGGTAGAAGTGAGGTGCTGACTTAAATCCGTGGAAAACATCCTCACATTTCCTGGGCAATGAGTAACAACAGGATTCTCTGAAGTGGCTGGTGATCAGTCAGCTTCGCTGTGGTTTTCCAAGGAGCAAATGCTTATACTGCAGTTTTCTCTTTTTCCTTTGTGTATTGGTTTTGGTTTTGGTTTGGGGTTTTGCTTTGTTTGTATTTGGGTTCTTTCTTCCTTTTTTATTTCCAGATCTTTTAAGCAGTTTTCTTGTCCCACTTCCTGCCTCTTCTAGGTCTTTCACTTTAACGAAGCCACAAAGAACACGCAAGGAGCAACTACGACAGATCATGTGAGTCACGGAGCACTGGGGTCTGGAAGGAGACTCACACATCCAGGAGGGTCCTACTTTAAAAGGGAATTTCAGATAAACTGTGAAAAGTCAACTTTTAGGGAAAAATCTTAGGCAAAATAGATTGCACATAATTGTTTCTCATTTCATATTACATACTTATTTATTTCATGTTTTTGGTTCCAGAGGGGAGATCAGTACTGTGCTTAAAGAGCTTCAAATTTCTACTCTGCTATTCACACTGGGGAACATGAACAAGACACAACTGCTCCGAGGCACAGTGACCTCATCCCAGTGAACTGGGAATAATAAAGGAATCTGCCTCCATACATACAAACAGATGCCAAACATTACAACCGTGCCTAGATTACTGGAAACCCTGATAAATTTTATGTATTATTATCATAGAATAACAATAATTACAGTAATCACAATCCTGTTGCTAAGATGATATCATTTTAATTAATTCATAAATGGAATTAACAGGAATAAGCACACATCCAAGTAAATTTCGGAAAATGATTATATGAGTTATATAGTTTATAGCCTTATGGTCCAAAACTCTTAGCTAGCAAGTGGAAGTTTCTGGATTCAGCCAGGCTTAGGCTCAAAAACTGGCTCCTCAACCTATGTCTCTTCAGAAAGTTTACTTAATTTTGAAGTTTCTTTTTTTCATCTAAAGTAGTCTAAAGACCCAGAGATACCAATGTAAAGCCCTTACCAGGCGCATACTTTTCCTACACTTAAGAATATGACCACCATGAGTGAAAATCATGGTCAATAGGTCTTAGAACATAATACCATCTAGGAGGGCACAAGGCTTCATGTCATAACGTAACTGAAATATACAAATCCAACATTACCACACCACTGATGGCTGCTAAACTGAAATATGCTTCTAGTCCTTGGGGAGCTTAAATTTAGCTGGGAAGCTTAACCTAATCTTTTGTACAATCAGAAGACAATCCAATGGTGGAATGGTACCACATCTGCAGTTCAAAAGTGAAGACGGGATTATTTAGAGCAGGAAGAAAGAATTTCCTAGAAGAGACTGAATGTAAAGGTTTTGAATAATATTTAAGTAAATCCACCAAAAATCAGGGAATAACAAGGAATGTCACCTGTGGGAATACCAAACTTTATCTTTGGATCGAACAGATTAACACGGGGTTAGTATTTATATCTACGTTGACAGAGAATACAATGAGCTTACTTTTTGACATTTGAAGGTTGAAAAGTTGGGAGATATGCACCACCAATTTCAAAAGCTTCTGACTGAATTAAAGAAACCCACTGATGCATATGAACTGAACATTGTCAACAAGTTCTATGGAGACAATAAGTACCCGTTTCTTCAAGTAAGTTTCACTTGGCCTTCCACACCTTTAATTTGAATCCTGAGCCATTAGTCTTTCAATAACTAAATGGGAAAGAGTAAGGCAGATGAAACTGGCTAACCCACATGGAGAGCATTTACACAGGGTACAAGACTCCCTTGTCTCGACTCATAACCAAATGAAGTGCCCTAGAACCTGACAATCTGCCCGTACAGAGTGTGGGCTTGAGGGTTACTTTATAACTATATATATATACTATATAACCCCTTTCCCACGTCAAAGAGGAGGCTCAGTAGCGAAGGAAGTCATGAGATGCCCCTCATGATCTGACACCATTCAGTCGCCTAGTATACATTTTGATGGATCATACTGATGAGGGGGCAGGCTTGAGTCTCTAAGGAGGGCTGGGGGAAGTACAGGGAATACTGAATGGCCAAAATGGAAGACATAAGCAAAGGTGAGACCCCTAAGGATTGACAGTGCTGGTGAGAAAGCATATCATCTCCTTTGAGGCATCATGCTTTGCAGTCTGCAACCCACAGCTTCTGCTGCACCAGCCTATGTCCAGAAGGTATTGCCTTTCAAAGACTTCATTCTTGCACCAGCCTGTACTTCCTTTTCACGTTACCCACATGGTAACTGTATAAAATATGCATGGGCAAGAGAAAGTAGATTTCTTCGGGGTTCAGATTTCTTGTACTATATTTTGTCAAGACTGAAGATAACTAACTTGGAAATACATACATACTGACAAATTACTCTTAATTCTTCTTTTCATCCTTTCTTCCTTCCCACGTCAAAGGAATATCTGGATAATGTTAAGAAATTTTACCTAGCCAGTGCGGAATCTGTTGATTTCAAAAACGCTGCAGAAGAAAGTCGTAAGAAGATTAATTCCTGGGTGGAGAGCCAAACTAATGGTAGAGTATGGGAGAGCTCCCATTAAAAAAAAAAGAAAACACTTTTGAGTCCCTGCTGTGCATGAAACCTGTTCTTGACACCATATGGGGTGTCAGTGGGGTGGGGGGTGGCTTTGCAGAGACGATGGAGAAGGGCACCGCTGATGAAGGAATGGTCCACGTAAATGTGAAGAGCGACAAGGGGAGCCCAGGAGGTACAACAGAAAGATAAGTACAAGGAAACACGGCTGGCAATCTGGGTTTGCTTGGGGCCAGAGATGACAGTATATCTGTGAATCTCAAGACTCTGCTCTGACCCCATCTTGGGTTCACATCCTCTCAATCCCCAAAGTGGAGAATCCAGAGGAAGACCCCGCAGGGATTAGGGTCTGACAGCCTAGGGCGGGCGTATGTTTCAGATCAGAGAGTTCATGCCACTTGTCCTAAAGAACAATCAAGCCCGATTTCCTTACAGTAGTGAGCCCAAAGCTGAAACACAGAAAGGAAGGGAGGGAGGAGTGAAGAGTGGAGGTGTGGAAGAACTGAGGGAGGGAAGTGGGGGGTGGAGTCACTTGTAAGAGTAGCTGAAATCAATGTATCCCTATTCAGTGTGAGGTGACTGAGGCCCTGCAAAAACAGAGAATCTGAACCCCTTTCCCATGACAGGAAGCGGTGTCCGCAGCAAGGACAACTCCATCCAGCTGGTGCCACGAGGAAAGCTCTAGCTGGAGAATTACTGCTCAGAGTCCCTCAAGTGGTGACTTGTGCAAATAACTAAGGATCGACTGTTAACTTTCAAAGCATCTTCCAAACAAACCACTTGTCCTTCCGTGGCAGACCTCTATGTTCTTTCCTTTGCAGGAAAAATCAAGGATATGCTTCCCCAAAGAAGTCTTGATGCTACTGTTCTGGTTCTGGTGAATGCAGTCTATTTCAGAGGCCAGTGGGACAAGAGATTTGATAAAAAATATACAGTGGAGGAAAAATTTTGGCTAAACAAGGTATTATAATTTATTATTTTTTAAATGTTTGTTTATTTTTGAGAGAGAGAGAGAGCATGAGTTGGGGAGGGGCAGAGAGAGAGGGGGAGACACAGAATCCGAAGCAGGCTCCAGGCTCTGAGCTAGCTGTCAGCACAGAGCCCAATGCGGGGCTTGAACTCAAGAACCTTGATTGACATCATGACCTGAGCCAAAGTCGGATGCTTTAACAGACTAAGCCACCCAGGTGCCCCTGTAATTTATTTACAATAATGTAACACAGTCATACATGGAATGTTACATTTCAACTCCTATCTGATAGCGTGTAGTACAACCGCAAGTAGAAAACAGACTTGGTCATGGCTCATTATCCTCTTATTTTTTGACCTTATTTACTTGGGGGACACTCCAAGAAACTCTTGTCCCGAATTCACAGATTTCCCCTATCATCTCTTAGGAGGAGGATGTGTTTGGTACCTCAATAGTATTATCTTCTTTTGAATAATACCTCACTGAGCATTTGTATGCCCCATCAATTACCTCAGGAGACAAGCAAACCCGTGCAGATGATGAAACAGTCCGTGGTCTTTAATTACACCTCACTGGAGGAGGTGCAGGCCCAGGTTTTGGAAATGCCATACAAAGGCAAGGATCTAAGCATGATCTTGCTGCTGCCAAATGAAGTGGATGGTCTGCAGAAGGTAAAATCTTGTACCTCTAATTCTTCCTACTATTGCCTGACTTCCCAGCAGGACAGTGCTTGTACGGGTCGTTCATTGCAGCAATGATCACAGGCAGGTGGTGGCGGCTGACAGAGTTCAAGTACAGAGTACGTGGTTTCTTCTCTGCAAACAGCCTAAAAAAGATTTGTTAAGGAAAATCCGGTATCCAAAAAGTAAATATCTTAAATATCACAGCATGATGTGGAAGATTATACAGAAAATCTCAACATCACAGGTTCCATTAATATTCTGAGAAACCTACCTAGGTACGCTAACATTAATATTTTGCAACCATAAGAACTTCTAATATATCCCAGTCTATTCATGTGAAGACAAGGACATAAACACTCTTGTGTAGGTGCCACATGGAAATATTTGCAAGCTCACTCATACACAAAACGAGCAAATTAAAACAACAAAGGGTACATTTTAAACGTTAAATCACAATGGCTTTGCAGACAATCGACAAACAGATTTAGCTTTTCAGTTTAGAAGTATTCTGTTGCTAGGAGTTTAAAAGTCATTCAGAGTCTCACTGCTCAGAGTAAAACAAACAAACAAAAAAGATGTGTGTGGAGGGTCTAGAATTTTCCTCTTAAAATTGTTACAATGAAGCCAGTATGTAAGAATACCAACAACGGTATCTGGCGTATGAAGGACAATCCGAACATGGCAGCTCGCAGTGACTCCAACAGCCGGTGATGCTGCTGAGGTCCCCATGAACTTGCTGCATCCAAAGGAGACCTGTACTAATGCCGGGCTTTGGCAATCCTCAGGCAAAGCAATATGGAAGCACCTGCGAAGGGCCATGACCCTGTTCATACTCCAGCTCAGCAATCCTAATGATCAATGACATCAGGAATCCCAGTCCTGGGATTTTAACTTAGGGTAATAAATCCAAACAAGGCAAGGAGCCTAAAGTATTGAAAAATTCAGAACAAGGAACAATGACGCATTTTCGTATTACCGATAGTTTAACACAGGGACTGACACAGTGTGAATGCTTAAAAATATGTATACTTTGAATACCAATTTAGTGTTAATATTGTGTAACAATTGAAACTTGTTTAGAGAAATATATATGTGAGAAATGTTTACAAATAGGTGAAGCAAGAAAAAGGAAGAAAAGTAGTACCTATACTATAATGATTATTTAAATTAGGGCGTAAAAAGTAATGTACATAGGTCTATTTGAAAATGAAGCATGTCACGTGGGAGGCATACAAAATAGAAACATAGTTCATTTCTTACAAAATAACTTTAATAATTCTGCTATGCACACATGTATGCATATATCCCTATATACACGTGTATATATGTATACATATGCATACATATTTATGTATACATAGATACATAAATATAACACAGTTGTGAATATATAGTACATTTTTCAACTGTAAAATATATTTTTATGACTGTTATTTTTGCCTCCTTAGATAAGATGTGATAACTCGAATCTTCTGTATGTACATTTACTATTAAAAGTTTTCTATAATTCAGTCCAATGTTATATCATGTTTGCTGTCCAATGAGAATCATGTCAGTTGTTCCCTTTCCCTATTGCTGTAGCTTGAAGATCAACTCACCGCTGAGAAACTAACAGAGTGGACGAGCTCACAGAATATGAGCGAGAGCCTGGTGGATTTATATTTACCCCGGTTCAAGGTGGAAGAGGGCTATGACCTCAGGGGCGCGCTGATGTCCCTGGGGATGGTGGATGCCTTCAGTGGACAGAAAGCCAACTTCTTGGGCATGACAAGAAAACTGGATCTCGTGGTGTCTAAAGTCCTACACAAGTCCTTTGTAGAGGTGACTGAAGAAGGCACCGAGGCCACAGCCTCTACAGTCGTAACTGTTGGGTTAACATCACCACCAATTCGCCGTTTTCATTGTGATCACCCCTTCCTGTTCTTCATCAAGCACAATAAGACCAACAGCATCCTCTTCCTGGGCAGAGTCTCCTCTCCTTAGATACAACTAGCCTGCCACCACTTACAGGGAATTGCAGGTTTTCCCAGTACATGGCTTGCTGAAAATAACATATTCTCTTTAATTCTTTTTTCCTTTCCAATCTCATAGTCATCACTAAGAATGTAACGGTTGTCTGTCTCTCTCCCTCCTTCTACAAACACCTGTAAACCTACTTATCTACCCATGATAATACCCCTTTGAACAAAATGTTCAACACACAGTAAAAGGATATTTTAAATACTCTATCTTCAACTAAATTTGAAATAGTACCTTCTATTTCAAAATTCGTATCTACTATTCAAACTTATTAACCTAAATGTCCACATTTATTTAAGAATTTAGGTGATACCTAGGACCCTTACATGTCTAAATTTCATTTATGAAACAAATTATCAATAAAACATGTATTCGAATTATTTGTTGCTTTTCTTTTTTTTCGTTTCAACAAAGTATAAGTGGCCCCCCATACCTAGGAAAAATAATTTTAAAATATACTATCACATTAAAAAGAAAACTCAAAATAGGAGCAGAGCATGTTAAGGCTGAAGGTAATTTGGTACCAGACATGAAAGGTGCTGTAGGTCATGTTCACAACTTTCTATTTTATCCTAAAATAAATGGAAAGCCAGAACAAGTTTCAGTTGTTTGTTTCCCAAAGATGAGATGCAGATCATCAATCTGCATTTTAAAAATATTATCTCTATGATATAAATGGATGAGAGAAAAGAACAGTGTAGATACAATGAGACTAATCAGTAAGCCATCATAATGTCAGAAGTGGCACAGAGAAAACCAGATATGAGACAAAGGCTCATAGGCATCTGAGTCACATCAGGTAGAGGAACGACTGATACCTATATGAAAACTGAAAAGTTTTGCCTCCATTCTAGGCCAGTCAGAGAACCAGGCAGCTACCTCTGCCTGCACTGTGGCCATGTGTAGAGGAATTGATAGAAGACTCAAATCTTGTGTCTTTATTTTTAAAGACACCATAATTCATTCACTAAAACAGAATATAATGACTCCATACTGATAAATAAGTAAATGACTAAATTAAAAGTTTTATAAGGAATGGATATTTACGTGCTTTCAAGATTCCTCCCCCAAAGAGTACACCTCACACCTATTACACAGTGGTCAGAACTTTAATTTTAATTCTAAAAATTGGCAATATCAATGCTGGAGAGAATACGGAGCAACGGGAAGTCTCACACACTACTGGCAGGGAACACAGAAAGGTGCAACCACTCTGGAATCATTTTGGCAATTTCTTACAAAAAGTACATGTTTACTTAACATATGACCTAGCAGCTCCACCCCCTGATATTTACCCAAGAGAACTGAAAACCTGAATCCATGAAAGGACTACACCCAAATGTTCAGAGCAGCTTTATTCACAAGGCCAAAAACTGGAAATAACTCCAATGTGCATGAGCAGGTGAATGGAGAAACAACGGAAGTGTGCTCAGTAATAGGCAGGAAGAAACCATCGACTCCCACAGCAGGATGAACCTCACACACCATGCTGAGCAAAAGCAACGGGACAGAGAGAACACAGAATAGATGTATTTCCACATCTACAAAGCTCAACCCGTGGTGACTGAAAAGCTGACCAGCGGTGTCCTGGGGCTGGAGCTGGGGAGGATCCTGATGGTAAGAGAGTCCAAGGGAAATTTCTGGTGGGAGGAATACTCTACAACTTGATGAGCTGGTGGTTATGCGGGAGTCTGTATTTTCAAGAAGCACTGATGTGCAGGGGCGCCTGGGTGGCTCAATCGGTTAAGCATCTGACTTTGGCTCAGGTCATGATCTCACAGTTCGCGGGTTCGAGCCCTGTATCAGGCTCTGTGCTGACAGCTAGCTCAGAGCCTGGAGCCTGTTTTCGGATTCTGTGACTCCCTCTCTCTCTGACCCTCCCCTGCTCACATTGTCTCTCTCTCTCAAAAATAAATAAAAACATTTAAAAATTAAGATTAAAAAAAAGAATCAATGATGTGCACACTTACAGTGCATGCATTTTGTTTCATGTAAATTATGCCTCATTAAAGTGGGCTGAGGAGGAGGAGGAAGAGAACTGCACAAAACACACATAATTACTATTACTTCTGGAAGGACTTGAGTGGAAAAAGCTTCTTAACTAAATGTGTTTTTAATTAAGAGCAACCTCATTCTTACCAACTGTGGGCCAATTCTCAATGTCTTCATAGACATTAACTGTTCTTAATGACAAGCCAGGATTCCTGTCATATGGAGCAAGAAGCATCATCAGAGTGCAAATTAAAAAATGAAATTCTGTGATCTGTGATCTACCAAGTTGCCTTCACTGGTCATCAAGATGTTAAAAAATGACTACATTTAACTTGAAATTTGAAATTTGAAGAAGTTTAATGGGAAAATTCACTTCCAGATAATTTTCCGTTAAATGTCATTGGATAACATATGGCATTTCAAGCTATTTTTGTTCAGATTTTGATACACTTTTCACAATAGTCAAAGACAAAAGCTAAGCCACAAACTATTTCTGTTTATAAATATCGTCCCTTATGAGACGATATTGTCCTTTTCTAGGGAAAACCCTCAATGTAGAGTCCTACTGACTCCCGTCAGAAAAGGGAGTCTGTCCGAGTATTTACACCATTATACCCGGAGCATGCAGAGGTGGTCAGCCACTATGTGACAAATCAATGAATGACTGAGTACTCCCCTGAAGCCACTCAGGAGCTTATCATTTGTGCTGTAAAAACTCATTTCTATTTGTACTATAAAAGACATAATAAACATCTGAAAAATGTGCTATCTGCCTCACCATGTGGAGTATAGTGTAGGCCATTCGACCAACAATTATTCTGTCCCTACAGTGTGCCATGCTAGATCAGGCAGTGGCTTCCCATATATAATAGGGTGACCAAAAAATAAATAAGTAAGCCAAGCATCCTGAAGGCCGGAATAAGGGAACTTAACTCAAAACACAAGCAGGCCAAAATTTGGGAAAATATCCTAATGTTAGTGATCAAGGCAGAGTTCAAGGCCTGGAACTAGACTAGCAGTATGAATCCAGGATATTACATGTAAGTACCTGAGATCGATCAGAAAATAGCTGGTGGGCAATCAGAAAACTTAATATCTGAAAAACCTAAGGATCCCATAAAAAAAAAAAAAAAAGGCAAATTCAACAATTTAGGAAGACATTTTACAATAGATAGAATAGACCAGAACTCCCTGAGGGTTCTCCCCTCCCAGGTGGCTATGTGTGTGTGACTGCCCAGAGGACAGGGCTGTCCCAGAGTGAAGAAACCCAGGGCCAGGCCCTGGCCTTCTAGAATCTGAACATCTAAGACTGCTATTGTTTCTGTACCTGATCACTGTCTACCCAAATGGGTGGAGACCAGCACACACATAATTCAAAATAAGATGATTCATATTTCACTTAAGACTAATAATGTAATTGTTTTCTCCCTAAGAAGGACTCTTTGACCTATATTTTTTACCTAACAATAACTTTAAGAAAAATAGCAGCTTGCATTTTTAGTACATTTTTTTAGCGGTCAGACTGAAGAGAAACTGCACATGACGACAGAGCACTGTCTGCATTTTCGCCTGGGAGGCGATGTGTATGCCCGTTCCAAGAGTGGCACATCTATGACCTGGAAGGCAACGCATGCTGACACCACTCAGAACCAGTCATTCCACTGACGCATCCCGCCGTGACAGGCTTCCAGTGTGGCAATGAACTACAATTGGCTTGGGGATGCATCATGAATATAGAATCATATGGGAATGCTTTTTAATATTTTTTTAATTTTTTTTTTTTGAGACAGAGAGAGACAGAGTGTGGGCAGGGGAGGGGCAGAGAGAGAGGGAGACACAGAATCTGAAGTAGGCTCCAGGCTCTGAGCTGTCAGCACAAAACCCAATGCAGGGCTCAAACCCATGAACCGTAAGATCATGACCTGAGCTGAAGTTGGACGTTTAACTGACTGAGCCACCCAGGTGCCCCCATAAGGGAATATTTATAAAACCCAGGGGATTAGTCCGTGTGAGCCTAGCGAGCCAGATCTTCTAAACACCCTTGATGGGCTTCCTACACATCCCGGTGCCCTGGAACACTCCCTTCCAAAAACTGATGCAGACACATAAAGCAGCCGGGAGAGAAGTGCTGCTCTACCTGGAATCCAGTAACACTTCAGAACTGATGAAACAGTACCTTATATTCTAATAGGGTGGCTACAAGCAAAATGGCCATGGTTTGGTTTAATAAGGCATGACTCATGTGAAATAAAATACTCTACAATGATTCTACTGTCCACAGGATTCACCATTTTCTACACTCTGTAACTCTAATAAGTGGGCTAGCTGGCTTGATTTCCAAAAATCTGGTACTACCAGTTAAGACAGTAAACACAATGATAATAAAGAAAACAATGTAATGTCTCAAAGAGAAAGAGAGTTGAAAGTATATTTATGACCACACTGTCTTACCTAAATTTTTGAGTGAGATACGACAGCTGTAATAACTAGACTGTGACTAACTGTCCTAACAGTAAATGGAAAAACACAAGGTCAAGGCAACAACTGTAAGGGCAAATACAAATTAAAAATTAGGGCTCCTGGGTGGTTCAGTCAGTCGGTTAAGCATCCAACTTCAGCTCAGGTCATGATCTTCTGGTTCACAAGTTCAAGCCCCGCTTCGAGCTCTGTGCTGACAGATCAGAGCCTGGAGCCTACTTCGGATTCTGTGTCTCCCCCTCTCTCTGCACCTCCCTCACTCTTGCTCTGTCTCTCTCTCTCTCGAAAATAAATATTTAAAAAAACATTTAATAAAACAAATTAAAAACAAGAGGCTTAACTCTTCCCATTGAATATGAGATTCCCCTCCTCTCCTTTTTCTCATCATTTACTCTACAAAATGTGTAATTCTAAGCACTTTCTCCTCTTTGAAATGTGTATACACCCTTTTGAAGACTTAGTCTTCTGTCAGCTTCATGCCATGAGGAAAGCCT